CCTTCTCCCACCCAGCCTCCTTCAGAGAAACCAGGGCTGTTGTCCAAAAACACAGATACCCATTTCCAGTCACTGCCTTTCAAGTTATCTTTAAGGAATTCGAATTTTCGGAAGAGTCAAGTTTTCCTCAACAACCTGCAAAAGGCAATGGTGATCTGACTCATGCTGGTGTCTTCAGAATCCATTGAGGACTTGTCGCCCTCTACTAAAGAAGATCCTGTCACATAAGCCCTTCTCCTGATGTGCCATCAAAAATAATGAAGTGTTTGCACATCTTAGCTTTTGCCCATGCTCTCTTCCTCTTCCTGAGAAGACAAAACAGCAAAAGACAAAACTCTGTGCTCTAGAGAAAGGAAAAGAGGTAACAAAAGAGACTCATGATAGCCAGAGAATAGAGCATCAGGAGTCCTGACAATGAGTCAGCACTGGGAGGATGAAGAGCTCACAGTAAGATAAGAGCTAATTAAGGCAGGGTCTCTCAAGGATTCAGGGTGCCGGCACTGAGAGATCTCGGAAGCTTTATTAAGACTAGTACTAAAGGAGGATGGAGGAAGGACAAATGGCGTGTCAAAGCCAGCCTAGCTAGGTCAAAGACGACCAGTACAAGCCATGTGGGAAAGTCAGCTAAAGACACAAAAGCAAAGGAAAAACCAATGGAGAGGTGTGTTGAGAAAGAGAAGAGAGATGTCAGAATGAAGGTTCAAGGGTAGCCTTTATGAGAGATAAAGTCTGGGAAATAAGAGTGGAGGTGGCATCTTTTGGTGTCTGTTCTCTCTAAATAGACATGGTTTATCAACCCTTGTGTTGGCATTCTCTGCTACAATTCTCTGTGCTGGTTCTTCTTTTGTCTCCCAACCCCTAGTGAAGTTTCGGGCTTCCTTTGAAGACACTCAGTCTTAGTTTCTTTTCCTGCAGCTACGATAAAATACCCTGACAAACAGAACTTAAGGGAAACAAGGCTTATTTGTCTCACAATTCCAAGTTACAGTACATCCTTGAAGGTAAGTCAACTAGTCACATCCTGTCTGCAGTCAAGAGCAGAGAGCAATGAAATCATGCATGCAAGTTGGGTTGGGCTTGCCTTCTCTACTCCTGCAAAGGTCAGAATCCCCTGCCTGTGGTATGATACCACCCACAGTGGGCTGGGTTTCCCCAGAGACACACCCTACAGGCCAACCCAATCTAGTCAATCCGTCATTGAAAATTTTTCCCAGGTGTCTGTAGAGTGCTACAAGAGAAAAATTAAAACCACAAATTATATACTCCTTTCCCATCTAGATATTGTATCTTAACTCTGAACTTCCCAAGTTCACTATGTATAACTCCGCCAGCACACTCCATAGTTGGTTTCTATTAACAATCTTTTCTGACTATTTTGATCACTGAGTGTGAACCCTTTATGGGTAGGACAGCAAATCTATTTACATCTGAATCCTCACTGTTGGTCAACAGATAATTGCCATGCTGATTTCGTAAATGACTAGAGCCAAACCTGCAGGTTGAGTCACAGCCTCAGGATACTTTTCCCTCTTTTCAAGCAAAACCTTTAATTTACGTGAGCTCAATTTACCTGTCTATACAAATATCAAACCCAATTGTGTACTAATGGGATACCAGACATGAAAATGCTTTGGAAAAACTAAAAATCATGATTAAAACAATGTGTGTTAGCGTCCTTTGCCATTATGTCTTATGGGGAGTTGGACTCTTCAGTCCAATTATTCCCAGGGTGAATAGCTACAATAATTAAAAAAGCAGCTTTGATTTGGGTTTTTAAACTTTTAGTGAGGTGTTGATGTGGTAAAGCTTGGAACTGATATCAAATCCCTAAACAGTCTTGTGGCCTACAGCAAAAAAAAAAAAATCACTTAATTTGTTGATTTGGTCATAAATTCTTATTCATCACTCAGTATGCATCAGGAACTAGGGATAGATTCTGAAATGGAGATGGGGGAAGGTAAGAACTGCCTGCAAAAGACAAAGGACGTAGTTAAGGAGGACGCTAAAGAGGGTACATCTGAGCTACTGTTGGGAGAGCAGTCAGGAGGTTATCACAGACCAGGCAAGGGAACGGCAAGGGCCTAGTGACAGACATCAGTAGACTTTATGGTGTCCCCAAGGATTCCCTGGACAGTCACAGACAGAGCCTATTCTAAGCAAAGGGTTGAGATGTCCCTCTTGTGATTGGATTATATCACATAAGAACTTTCCTGCTAGGACTCAAGGGAGGACATATGAATCTCTCTGTAAAGGGAAAACAGAGTAGACATCATGGGTGCATGGGGTTGGGGGATGGGACCTGGAAGAATCAGGTGTGAGGAGGATAGAGGGAGAGGGTACTGGGAGAGATAACTGGAATTGGGGGGGCATGTTGGGGTGAGCTAGAAACTTAGTACAACAGAAACTCCCAGGAATCTATGAGGGTGACCCGCAGTAAGACTTCTAGGAATGGGGGATAAGGAGTCCGACCTAGCCATCTCCTGTAACCAGACAAGAACTCCAGTGGAGGGACGGGGACACCAATCCAGCCACACAACCTGCAACTTACAAGTTGTCTTGCCACAATTGTGGGAGTGGCCAACCAGTGACTGGTCCAGCTTGGGACCGATGCCATGAGAGGGAGCTCAGCCCTGATAACTGCCTGGAGTGCCAGGACCCAGAGACTTGATAGCCCAGAGACCTAGGATAGAACCACAAACAAATGGCAGAATAAAGTCAAAGTAATGATTCTTAATGACACTCTGCTATTCTCATAAATTGTCACCTAGGTCAACTCTCATAAGAAAAGCTTCATCCAGCAACCAATAGAAACAGATGCAGAGACCCACAGCCAAACATTAGGTGGACCTTGGGAAATCCTGCAGTGAAGGAAGAAAAAGGATTGTGGGAACTAGAGGGGTCAAGGGCACCACAAAAAAACTCACAGAATCAACTAACCTGGGCTCGTAGGGGCTCACAGAGGCTGAGCTTACAACCAGGGATTCTACATAGGACTGACTATCTGTATATATGTTACAGTTGTGTAGTTTGGTCTTTTGTGTAACTCTTAACAGTGGGAGCAGGGGCCATTTCTGACTCTTTTGCAAGCTTTTGGGACCCTTTTATTCCTGCTGGGTTACCTGGTCTAGTCTTAATAGGTGGGGAGGTGCCTTGTCTTACTGCAACTTGATATATCAGGTTTGGTTGATATCCATAGGAAGCCTGCCCTCTTCTGAAGGGAAACAGATGGAGGGGGCCAGAAGAGAGGTAAGCAGAAGAGGATGGGAGGAAAGGGAGGAGGGGAAACTGTGGTTGGGATGTAAAAATAACAATGATAATATAATAATGCTTTTAAAGAATCTTCCTGTTTAGAGATTTGATCCAGAGTCTTGTCCCTGCTATCATAAAAAAGAAGCACCTGTTGGTCCCGTAGATGTAAGGAAATAAGTCATGCCAACAGTCCACAGCTCAGAACTGCCTCTCTCTCTCCATTTTAGTCTACAGCTGAGGATGCAGTCCAAAAAGAAAAAGAAAACCTTTTGATTACATCCTGGAAACATTCAGCAGAGAGACCACAGCTAAGCCATAGGAACTGCGGCTTAGAGAAAACATGAGATCATTTGTGTCTGCCTTAAAGCTGCTGCGTCGATGAGGATCTGTTGTCTAGCAATAAAGAAGGAGTCCGAAGTAAGAACCAATAATAGAACATGCCTAGGCTCAGAAGGGACATCTACTGAGCCTTGGTTTTCCCATGTGCGAACACGAAAGGGTAACTACCAGACTTACTACACACGTACTTCACAGGATCGCTGTGAAATCTGATGGGATAATAGCTGTCAAAAGGTTTGTCAAATATCAAGTGTCATGAAGTTACTGGTTATTATGTACCTGCTGATGCACAACTTTACCATAGTAGTTCACATACACCATGAGAAACAAGATTGAATGAGAGAGAGTAAGGGAGGGAGGACATGTGGGGGGAAGGGAGAGAGGGAATGATAGGTAAATATAAGTGTATATATATATAAATGTAGCTATGGTGATGATGATGAAAGATATAGACAGAAGATAGATAGATAGATAGATAGATGACACTTAAAGGTGAATGTGTGTATTTCAGTCATAAAGAACATAGGAATTGCTTGCAGAAAAATGGATCCGACTGGGTTTCATCATGTGAAGCAAAATAAACAAGACTCAGAGCATTTGAACTCCCTCCTATGTGAAGTCTAGAACGAATATTACAAGGATGCAGAAGAGGGACTGTCATAGAAGGGGGAAAGGATTGGGATGGAGAGGTAATGGTATAAAAATGGGTAACTGAGGGTGAATGTGATCCCATTGTTTTATATATAATTAATATGTGCTAAAAACAGACATAAAGGGTATTTGGAAGGGTGAGTACAATCATAGCATAATATACATATATGAAAATGTCACAGTGAACCCCATTAATATGTACAATTCGTGTTCATCAATGATTATGGCAAAAATAAGCTATATTAATTATGTAAAAGAGTAACAATTCAGTAAGTACTAGCAAAGCTATTTCTACAGCCCCCAAACAGTGCCCTTTCTTGTTTGTGAGGCTTCACCCATCCTGCTTCTCTTTCTTTCATGCATGAAACTACATGCCTAGTGCCTGTTTCTCGCGTACTTTCCTCTCCCAAGATCACTTACCAAACAGCTCAGCCTCCCGTGGCATCCTGGTCTAAACTTGAACATCCTTTATCATCATCCTGTAATCTCCTATTGGTCTATTGGTCTTCCATCTCACTTCCCCGTGAACTGTGACCTCCTTAAAGGTAAAAGCTGTCATACTCTCCTCCATGACCTGATATCTCAAACTGTGTTCAGCGTACAGAAGCAATATTACACATATAAATTATATACATGTATGTATGTATGTATGTATAATATATATCTACAGGCTTCCTAGCCTAAACAGCTCTGACATGAACAGAGAGCAAAGACTGCACAGAAATCTTCCCCCAGGGAAGTATATCCATTTATAATTTTATTCCACTTAAGTAGAGGATATGTGGGGAATTGTCCAAACCTTTCACTTGAAAAACAAAGTATTGTGGGGAGGAGGTGTCTTTAGTTTTCTTACAGGCATAAGCAGCCACCCTGCTCAGCACTCTGGGCAGCTCCTGGGGAAAAAATCTGCTGCTGTTGGAGTTGTCTTCACTTCTGAGCTGTCACCTTGATGGCTTCTGAGCCATCTTCCCGCAGTGGGAGGAAGAGGGGGTGGTGTTGCCGGTGTTGGATGGAGAGAAAGAAGCTGTCATCAAACTGAGATGGGGACCATTCCCTTTAGCTTAGGAAAAGCACAGGAGAGACACGGTCAGCTGGGCCAGGGTGCTTTACAAACCACAGAGTCCCCAGAGGGCCCTGGTGGAGCTTAGGAGACAGAGGGACAGCAGTCACATCCTTATGCTTCCTTCTCCTCCCAGGAGACCTGTACTCTTCTTGGGATAAACCATGTAAGTGAGTCAGCACCACACACCTGTCACTCCCAGTTGGAGGATGGGGCTCAGACTCCATCACTTGTCAGCTGTGTGGTCCAAGACACAGCAGTCAGCCTTGCAGAAGCCCAGTTTTCCTACCTGAAAGTGGGGCTGCATATCCTTGCTTTGCATAATGTAGATACACAGGTGAAATCCACAGGAGACCTGGTGGACAGTCCTTAAATATCAGTTCCGTAGCGCCACCACAACCTAAAGGCAAACCTCTCCATCAGCCGAGTCCAGCTGCTGCATGGACTAGCGCTCCGAGGTGAGAAAAATTCCAACGCACAAAGTGTAATCACACTGAAAAAAAAAACAGAATGAAAAACACCACCACTAGGCAGGAAATTGCGGTGCCCGGGAGCCTGCTGTGTTACTGGTATGCACATGTCTACAGCACCCCAGAGCATCTGCATCTGAAACTCGGAAAACATTGATGCTTAATACTTCCTCCCTGGAACAAGTGAGGAAGCTGTGGGTGGTGTAGTGGTGGCTTTGCCAGGGAGCTCCAGCCAGGATGCAGGGGAGACTGGACATTTACTCTCTCTTCCTAATCCATCTCACTCCACCTAAGTAAGATCCCTGTAGTGGGGGAAGAATCATCTAGACTATGCAAATCTCTTGCCCTACGTGTCTCCCATCCCGGAGTCATCACATTCATTATCCCATACTATCAACCCTAACTTCCAAGTAAAGCAATTCAGAAGCACAGCACAAACTTGAGCTGTGCAGCAGTAGCTCAGTTCTAGACACAGCTGAGTGCAGATGTGCATGGATGGCGTCAGTGGGTTAGGATTCCAGATGTGCATGGATGGCGTCAGTGGGTTAGGATTCCAGATGTGCATGGATGGCGTCAGTGGGTTAGGATTCCAGATGTGTATGGATGGCGTCAGTGGGTTAGGATTCCAGATGTGCGTGGATGGCATTGTCAATGGGTTAGGATTCCAGATGTGCATGGATGGCGTCGTCAATGGGTTAGGGAGTGCACAGTTTCGGAGGCTCTTGTTAATGTCTTCATTCCTAGTCTGAAGCCTCCCTGGCAGGGCCAGCACTCCCCCTCCCTGTACCGTCCATTCTGAACAAACCTCCAACCACACCTGGAACAGTGACACCTGGAAGAACACCCTAAGGAGGTTGTGCCTCTGAGAATCCCTCCCCACCCTGCCCTCACCCCTCCTGAAGCTTCGGCTGTTGCACATTCACGGGCATTGTCTTTCCTGCCAGGGTCCTCTCTACCCTAGTCATGAGCTGGAATGTTCTAATATTCCAAAGAACTGATAAGGGTGGAGCCCAGTGTCGCAGACCTGGAGATGGGGTTTTCAAGCGTGAGAATCAGGTCCCAGCTGAAAGTTGCCTGCTGTGTTTCGTGTGAGTGTGTGTGTGTGTGTGTGTGTGTGTGTATGTGTCTACGCGTGCTGTGTGTGTATTCATTCAGATGTATGCAGGGCTGTCTTCATAGGTGTGAATGTGATTTATCAGGCACTTTCCACACTTAATTTTTTATTTTGGAGAAAGGGTCTCCCACCAGTATGGAACTGAGCAATGTGGCTAATTCTGGCAGGCCTGAGTCCCAGGGATCTGCCTGGACTGTCTCCCCGGTTCTGGAACTACACCATACCCAAAATTTTTTAATGTAGGTGCTGGGATGGAATTCAGATCCTCGCACTTGGAAGACAAGCATTTCACCAACTGAATGGCCTGTGTGGCCTTGCCTTTGCCTCATCAAACTAATCCCTAGAAGGACCTCAGCGGTAAAGCTTCCGGTTTCTGGAGAGTAACTGAGGCCACAATGTCTGTGAATGGTGGCGCTGGGCTTCTAGCAGGATCTCCACACTCAGGTCTACCTTGAGGTGATTTTTTTTTTAACCAGGAGGTAATGAGGTGAGATGTGACACCTCCTGACTTGTCTGCACTGGCTCTGATGTATAACAAGAGGACAAGATTTCCTTTCTAAAGCAAACTCATTTTCATGTAACAATTGGCATATTGTTGGTGGAGGAGAGCATATAAATCAACATTTGTTTGATTAGGAAATTGATGCTGTCAATCTTTGCTTTGTGTCTTCCTGACCCTTCCAATAAAAAGTAAGCTGAAGGGAGGGCCTGAGAGGCAGGGACTTTACCCTGGTCTGGCCCACTTACCTAGAGGTCTCTCAACCCGATGACCCGCTCACTGAGACCCACTGAGGGGCGGGTCCACTGTCACCTCCCAGGGCCTTGGTGGCCTTGCTCTCTGTTCTCCTGCACCGTGATCTCTTCCACGTTTCTCCTTTCCCGTCTATCTGCACAAGCCATGTATTTATGCACACACATAAATCCATTCTATGTCTTATATGTAAAAGCTAGAGTCTTGTGTGGTAGTGGGGTATCTTAAAAAATCAATAAAATATTAAAATCTCACCAGGGAGTTGTAATGTCTCCTTGTGACTTTAAAACCGTTTTCCCTTCTGTATCGAGGGGCTATTCCAAGAAGACAAAGGGGTCTGCTCAGGTCTTACATAACAGAGTGTTTGCTGTACTTAGGCCCTGGTTATTCCTCTCATACCTTTTTTTTTTTTTTCGGTCTTCCGGGTCTAGCTACTGGAATTTGGAACCCCATCAAGACCCCTGACCTCACTTGGCCTTCCCTGAGCTTCGGGCATCTCAGGCTGAGTAAGGTTCTTGTCACAGGGCAACCATGTTGCTCTGTCCATCGTATGGTCTCGGCTGCAGTGTGCTCGCATGGGTGGGGAGGTCAGGCAGGGTAGGAAAACGGGTCTACACTGATTGAGGGGCTGTCACTGAAAGGACAGGCTTGGCTGAGTGGGCCCCTTCATCTGTTACAGCCAATGATGTCCACCGATAGCTGACACCAGGGTGGAGCCCCCAGAGAATACTCATCTCAGAATGCAGCTGCTGCATTTTGCAGGTGTGACACATGTGGGCTCTGAATGGCAGACCATCAGTCATCTCGCTGCATCTTCACTCTTTTATCTGAATGGTGATTTTTTTTTTCTTTACTCTGATTGGACTCAAGGACACGTCAGATGTACACAAGGCATAGGAAACACCAGTTGTCAGCCTGCTAGTGGCTGCTTGTGACAAGCCTGGATAAAAGTACCAGGATGCTATGGGAAAGGATCAGGTAACTTGGCCATTTGTTTCCAAATCAGGAAACCTGGAAGCTGGCCCTCATGGATTCCCTAGCTCTAGGGTTGAACACTTCAATATATATAATATGCAACTAGTTCACACTTGATTCAGATTAACTCTGGTTCACCCTCATGGTGTACAGTCTGGGAAGCTGATCCTGAATTACAGAGAACCAGGGCTCTGATTATTTACTTTGCCGTGGTAGGGGAATAATGACAGGAGCTGAGACTCATACACTTTACCCACCCCCCCAGGGATTTACCATTTACTCTATATCTCATACCTACAAGAGGAGCACAATGCATTGTATTCTTGGTTTTCTGATCCATCTCAGGGATATGGTGTCTCTCTCAGTCTTCCTCTATACCACCTGCACAAAAATGATCTCTAAACCTACAAGTGGACTGTTTGACTGAATTCTACTCAGAATGCTTATGCCCAGACACTTCTTTGGTATCTTAGTTATGCTTTCTATTGCTGTGAAGAATGCTATGACCAGGGCAACTCTTATAAAGGAAGACATTTAATTAGGAGGCTTAGTCAGAGATGTAATCCACTGTCATCATGGCAGGAAGCATGGCTTCGTGCAGACAGACATGGTGCTGGAGAAGTGGCTGACAGATCTCCATCTGGGTCTGAAGGCAGAGAGGAGAGGCTGGTCCTGACTTGAGCATGTGAGTGCTCAAAGCCCAACCCAAGTGATGCACTTCCTCCAGCAAAGCCACACCCACTCCAACAATACTGCTACTTCCTATGGGTCTATGGGGACCCATTTTCATTGAAACCACTACACTTGGGTTTTGGTGTGACCAAAACTTATATTCATAAGCAGATTTCCCCCCACTTTGTTTTGTGCTCAGAAGTGAGAAGTTCTCAGAGTGCACACATCCCATGGAGTGGGACTTAGCCAGTGACTACAGGACTGAGAGACTCCCACCCAGCTCCCCTACCTGAAGGAGTGAGTATCCCAAAGTGAAATGCTCGGACCTTCCTGTGGTATCAAGCTGGAAGTGATCTTAGGAATCCTATGAACCACGCATGCTTGGCTTTTCCCTTCTCCACTCTCATTGGTTTGTCCTGAGCACTGAGTACACACTACCTATACAAAATCATCTCCCAATCTACCTCTGGAAAACACAGCTCCAGACATCCTCTTATCCTAAGACCTTTTTCACAAGGTAAAGGTGCCTCAGATAAATCTCTATTCCATGCTGAATCTTTCTGTTAAATGACACTGTTCCAAAATTTCATCAAAGCCATTAAGGACCAGAAGAAGCCTAGTGCTCCTGGCCACAGGCCCACTAACACAGGCAAAGCAGGCAATGTTTTCTGGAGGATGTGCAACCATCCCAAAGTCCCTCAAATTCTGTCTCCCTTGAGGGTTCATGCAGGAAATTTTTCTATCAGGGTTTTGAATGTTGCTCCAACATCCTAGTTAAAGCTGTTACCGTGTCTGCTACATTTTAGTTTGACTAGGATATGACTTTCATCATCTATAAAATGAAGATGTTACCACAGTATTGGGAGGTTGGAGATAAAATGCAGGAGTACAGAAAGCTATTGAAATGAGGAAGTGTCCTTTGTCACCAAGACCTGACCAGGGATCTTCTTATGCAAAGAACTAGCTTTCATGGTCCACGGTCAAGTGGTATCTTTAATGTTGGTGCAGAAGGGATAGAGAAACAAATTGTGCCTGTTCTTTGGGAGCTCAAAAAGCATGGGTATCTAGTCACACCATAGCAAAAGAGAAGGAAACGCCAGAGGCAATGGGAATTCAGAGAGGCATGTCTAGTATGGAGAAAAGAAAACAAGTCTTCTGGAAGGTGGACTATCGGAGCAAACCTGAAAAATATGTAGGCTGTATCCCAAGAACAGGGAGAGTGGATTCTGAGCCGTCATCAAAAGCTGGTCAGATGAGGAAAGTAAACACTGTTTGGCAAAGGTGAAGTGGGAACCAGGAGTGTTCCCCACACCCCACCTGACCATGGCCACCCAGGAAATACTGGTGTCCCTTCATATGCCTTCCCAACACGGCCAATTCTGTCAGAACTGGAGAGCTGTATTTGTGGGACAAGCAGGCCTGCAACTGCCGTTGGACTTACCCATCCCTTGTGTATGTGACAGGCATACCTCTTCCCAGAAGACCCAGAAGAACCAGTCACTGGCTCTGCC